CCTTTGATGTGACTTGTCTCGCGATTCTTCTTCAAACGGTTTCTTTTTTCCTCTCCCTGCAAGCTTTATTACGCCTTTCAATGTAGTCTTGCTTACTTGTTATCAAGACTTCATTTATTATAATACCGTCTGATCAATTTACATCAATGGTTTACATTCTCAATTTAATAAATTGTATACTTCGTTTTCGATTTTTTTATATTGTTATTTATCCATTAGCGCGAGACAATATGTGTTTCTTAACTGTCGCGCTAAGTAATAAGCAGAATTTTTTAATTCATCCATTACTTCGCGATTCGAGAAATGTATAGCTCATTACCTTTAATGTATTAGTTTAATATCTCTAATAATTAATTTAATAATAGGCAGTAACGATAATTTTCCCATCTATGACGTCAATAATCTATAAAAATACTTAATACAAAATTAAAGTTTTATTTTTTACTTCGTTCCACTCTATCGTGTTGGCAATTTTTAAAGAATTTAAATAATTGAATAAATTTATAATTTTTTTTTAATAAACTGATCATTGTATTCGTTCTAGACACAATTTAATCAGCGGTTAAGATAATACATAATTATATCTTCAATATAAAAAAGAAAAAACCATTATTATCGCTTATTATTGATTAGCTATAATCATGATATATACGACAAATATATGTGGATGTCTTGGACGCGATGATAAACAATATTTGAAATAATTATTGATAGATGAATGCGAGAGACTTCGTGGATTAGTAGGAAAGCGCATTTATACTGAGCGTCTTCGTCATGTATTAAATAAATTTTTAGCACAAGTACAAAGCGATTGATAGCCATTGGCAGGATAATAAAGCAATCAATGAGAATATTGAATTCGGATTTATGCACGAATTCAAGACATTGGAAATTGAGAAGGTTCGGGGCATTTCTTAGTTTGAATTAGCGATACGTGCAATAAGAATGCACTCGGTATCCAATAATAAATTTTCCACTTTAAAGTAAAAATTACGTACAATTGAAATTGGAAGAAAAAAGAAATAAATTATATCAGGCAGCGTAATGTATGTATAGGGAAGAAAGATAATGCATGACAGCCGCGACAATATCTTGTCCATCTGGAGCTACGCGGCTAAAATGTGACCGATGCCTGTTTTTGCGCGCCTGGATAATTTCGAAGATGTTTCTTCGAGACAACAATTACGGGCGAGCAAGCGACTCGAGCGAAAAAAGCCTGCGCGCGCGTGTGTATGTGCGTCGGCGGTTATTGAAGTGACGGTAGAACGGGTCCGTGAAGATCTATGAAAAGCCGACGTTTCTTTGTACTGCCGATGCATCGCGAAACGCAGCTCCGAATACTTTGTTTTTTTGTTTTTTGGTTTTTGATTTTGTTTTTTTTTGTTTTTTAAACAGTACGCTGCTAAGAAATAGACTTACGCAATTGCTTCCTTCAATGATATCCTTTGACATTGGAACACCAATTTAGCGCTGTTGTAATAGTGTTCGTTAATACTTGGCGTTAGCATGAAATTCGTGTTTGATACGTAAGAACATTATTGCACCATAATTCATTTCACAATGGCTGTTGTGAGTGAGTCTACGGTGTGCTCACAAAAGCAGAAGTGAATAAATTTTTTGAGCCGCACCATTAGTTTAAGCATCCTAGAGTAGTTGAGTTCGAGGAATGGGCGTCTTTGTTTTTCCTACTTTCGGCTTAATTTTCAGTTGGGACGACCTTGCTTTTTGGTTAGAGCGTTCATCGATTATCTCCCGTTTAGCTTCCTCAAAGTCATGCTTTCGACAAGCTTAGATCAACATTAAATGGAATGCAGATGATCGGAGGAATGAGGAGTGGGGGCTGGACAGTGAAAAATGACTTTCTAGATTAGTATTCTGGTGAATAATTATAAACATGGGATCTATGTGTACATGTGCCGCTGGTGATGAAGCCAACGCTACTTCAAGTCCTCGAGTATTACAATCGCGACGGTCAATCGTTATATCAAATATTAAGCACTATACTGGATTATATATTATACCGGATAGATAAAAGTGGGTGCCGCATTAAAAAGAAAATTACACGTTTGACCTTGGTGAAATGATAGGAGGGAAGTCGATGTGCATGGCTAAATGGGAATCCGAGTAGTCTTTAATTAGTCGGCGCTTTGTCATTGCCGTAAATCTTAATAGCTTCCTTGCGATAGAAATCACTTTACTCGCTTAAAATCTAAAGATATTATTTAGCTGTAAGCGGTGTTAATTGTTATAAAGAACCGAGTATTTGTCGCGATCCGCTTGATCAAAATTTTCGTTTATATGATTTCGTTCATGCATTGTTCAAACTGATGCTTAAGTCGAAGGAGCGGATATTTAAAGCTGCGCGTTTCAAGCATTACGATGTCAACGCTAAATGTTTATTTATCGAGCGGCTATTATAGATTAATGAAAAAGTGTCGTAGAATATTGAATTATGTGAAAAGGCCCTTTCACGATTTTCGGATTAAATTAAATTCATCGTTACCATCAAAGTATCCCTAAAACCATACACATTACGTAAATGCCCGCCTAATAAATGCAATTATCTTTAACAAACCAGTACTACGTCTCTATTTTTTTAATCGAATGCTTTCAAATTTATCTGAAATTCCAAGAACGTGTTTGCATAACAGCGAGTTTTTCTTTTTCATAGACATCCGAGTACCGAAAGGTGGTACAGTATTGACTTGTAAATCCAGCGCATTTATGAATATGTAAATGTCGGCGGGAGGATGATAAAAGATGCTACGGAAGCGCTCAACGTCCATTGTGCGAGGCCGGACTATACAGCCAACTTCAAAATGGATCGGACTGAGGATCGTCGAGCGTAAATATGGATCGAACGCGGCGGATCGTGAAAATCAAAGTCCGACGTATCGTATTGGAAAAGAAGACGAGAGTCACTCACTCGGTTGAATGCCAGCCATTATAAAAGTATTTAAGATCGCCGAGGCGGCACTTAAGCATTTACGTATGATTCCTCGTCTATAAATTTCTATTGGCTCTAGTGCACAAAGGCGGTACACGAGGGAAAAGTGTCAGTGATGATCGCAGTCTGTACGACGTAGGTTGTTTCGGTGGGACGTCGAGGGGTGAGTTGGCGCAAATCGCACGGAAGCGTGTCGATATCAAAAGGCACCGACAAAGGGAAAAATCGTCGTCGGAGCGATCGAGCGCGTGAAATCCCGTGGGGCCTCACATGGGAGATAATCGCCCGTTACGTCCCGGAAAACTTCTGGGCTCACTCGTGTTTTTCTCCTTGGCGATAATTCGTATTAGGGGCGTTTCGCGATGCCCGGGGCGCGCTTTTTAAATCCTGGCGCGTGCATATAGTGGTGAGACGGGATGAGGGTTTGGCTAATGGTGGTTCATTCTCGGCCTGGTATAATGAGCATAGAGTTTGCCACGAGAACTCGGGATGCCGGTGACACGATGTAATTTTTTTGCCGCCGTCACTGTTATTATATTAATTCGGCAGGTAATTACTTTATATTGCGATGTGTTATCGTTATTTTTGCTTGGATTTTTTGGATTCCGTGTAATTGTGAAGTCGGACAGGTTGTGTAATTGTATCGTATTAATCGTACAAGCTTATATAATGAAGATATGGCGAGTAAGTTTTTACTTTCCAGGCTTCGGATTATTCATGAACTTTTCGTTTTGCTAATGAACTTTTATTCCGAGGCTATACTAGATATTTTTAATTTAGCCAATGGCAACGACTGATCGAGAAATATTTACTTAATAAAATTTTGTTTCAAACATTTTATTCGTTTTATTGATTATTCAAATGTGCAATTAATTTTAGTGGAAGCAATTATATTTATGCAAATAATGCTTACGTATCTTATGTTTTACGACTTTCTTTAACAAATAATGTGCGCAAACAATTATCATATGTTTTAGGTTTTTTTCGATTTTTTTAATTTTATTACTTGAACAACAGCAAGGTAGACGTATTTTGTTTGATATTATAAAAAAATAATATATTTACATGAATTATAAACGTAACGAACAATTAAATAAACATAGCTTTTAATTTTTTCTTGATCTATTCGGCTCATACAAAGCGATCGATATTATTGATAAATTAGATAAACTGTGAATAATATTATAATTATTATATTTTCATCCTCTATAAGAAAAAGAATATAAATCAATTATAATAGTGAAATAAAGCTTGTCAAATTTTTTATTAATAGCTTGTAATTTACTTAATCACTAGTAATTAGTTTAATTCTTAAAATTAAATGAATGTAAAATAAATAATAAATTGATAATAAAAAATATACTATAAGAAGAATTTTATATAATTATGCTTTGATTTATTTTTTAATTTATAACCGCATTATATATATTATTTAAATATTTCGAGTTTTAATTTATATACTTTGGCTATTTATGAATTGAATCAAGATTTATTAAATTTTAAGTCGTATTATGCATGGAAAGCATTACTGATAATTAAGAATCTGTATAATTCATATATATTAAAACACTTTAGATACTGCAATTATTATTTCCAAATTTCATTTTCATTTTATCAAATAATAATTATAATAATGCCAAGGTATATCTTCAATAAAACCTTATTTTTATCGAGCATATCTCCAATTACCAGTTATAATTTCTTGTCGAGGTCAATGATTTTTAACAATTATATATGTTTTTTTGTTTTTTTTTTGTGTTTTCTATCATTGAAATAAGCATTCAATTTTATTTATCTTTAATTAATAAAAATTGTTAATAACCATCATTACTCTAATGCTTGATAATCTTTTAATTAAGAATAGAGTTTTAAATATTTATTATAATTATATAAAAACAACTTTTTTGCATTATTATTTTATACGTAATAGAAATTTGTATAAATAAAATAGAAAATCTAGAATGCAACTACTTCCTGCAATACCTTACGTTTTTATCAGAAAACTACATTATCGGCAGGGAAAGGTTTACATTGATGTAGATAATATATGTTAGATATTGTTAAATTGTTGTGCGGTGTCTCATTCTCGATATTATAATTTGTATTCTTATGATGTTTTTTTAAAGTATCTTAGCAATGTGAAAAGTATCGTTCAAATGAGAATGATAATATTCAATTTTTCTGTTATTCGCTACAATCAATCTGTTTTTTAAATCAAAGTCAACAAAGTATAACCTCAAATAACCTTCATTTTATACAATGATTCAAGGGTAAGCGCATGAATATCTTATCTATTATATCTTTATTTTTAGAATAAATTGTAATTATTATTGTTGTTAATTATCTTAGAATAATTAGTGTCTGCTGCGCAGCAATAAGAGTGCATGCTCAAATTCAGTCAAGGAATCTTACAGTATGTGTCAGAGACGAATGGAGAAAACGAAGAAATGTAATATTTGATAATGAACGAGAAAGACAGAAAGCTGATGTTGGTAGAATTGAGAAAATATCAGTTAAATATATCAAGCCATCAGGAGAGGAAGAAGTAAACATGATGATGAATAAAGACTTATCCACACCGACTGACTGTGCCTTACACGATTCAGAATTTGCTATGAAGACAGGTGCATTGTCATTGGTTGATGGTATACCTTGGGACATGCACAAACCTTTATCCAATGATTGTAAATTAGAGGTTTTAACAATGCAGATGATAAAAAAGTCCTCGTCATTGAATTTTGCATTTTGGCGTACTTGTTCTCTTATTTTAGGTGCTACGATAGATTCATCATTTAAAGATGATATAATATTATATTTACATAGGTAACGATTATTTCTTATTTGGTACAGTTAATTTTTTTAATATACCGCTTCAGATTAAAATCTGTTTAAGATTTCATTTGTTTTCTGTAAATAATATGGCACAGTTAATTTTTGTTCGTTTTTTAATCTGTAGATGTAATTATCTACAAGCGATTCTGAAGCTCATGTATGTAATTTACAGATTTTTAGTAGTTATACATTTATATTCAATTGCGTTAAAATATAAAAGAAAAAAACGCGTCATTATTAAATCTCTTTAATTATGTAACAAATACATAGGATTAATCACTCAACACTTACAGTTAAAACTAAAATGATACTCCTTGACCTTCCTATAAATTACAGTTTCACGTGGCCAAATGTGAGATCGGGTAGTTTCTTGTGCGATGCAATAATCGATGTAAACAATTGGAAGCCAACGGAAGCCGAGCTCCGGGCGTTGTCGGCCCAATTCGTCAAGTTCACAAGACAGTCGTTGCCTGTCGAGAGACTCGTTGTTAAGGAGGAGATCGCCCTCGACATGTACCAGGAAAATCCCTTTAAATCTCAGCAAATTCCGAACATCGCCAAATCTCAGGAGGGTAATGTCACTCTTTACCGCATAGGCGAGCACATCGACATAAGCAGGGGTCCAATGGTCGGTCACACGGGGATCGTCGGCAAAGCCACCATCACCGCCGTTCACAAACTCGAATCCGAGGAAGAAAACCGGTATCGCTTTCAAGGAATCGCGTTACCCAGTGGTGTTTTCTTAAACCACTTCGCTTACGGTATCCTCGAGGAGCGCGCGAGACAATTGAACAAGACAACTTGGATGCCGCAGAAGCAATTCGAGGACACGGACGAATCTGCGAACACGGTGGTGGCCCAAATTGCGCAAAATTAAATCGAGCATTTCTTTCATCTAGTTTTTAATTTAAATGTATTGGACTGTTAAAAATCTTCGGATAGTAATGACATTTCCGGTGGTTATTACTGTTTGGTAATTTTGAGATTTATGTTACGCAATTTCTTCATTCAGCGATTATATAACTTCTCTATCGTTACCACAATAAAATAATTATAATGATATTCTGACGTTTTCTTGAATATAAAAAATTATTCTTGGCAAGTGATCAATCACTTATATCGTATGTTAACACGTATTAAATACATCATGGAAATTATATTTGGTAAAACGTGAAACAATTTATTTTTTGTTTTATGTATAGGTTGTCATCTTAAAAAATTATAAATAAATATAAACGTTAATAAACGTATAATATAAAGCGATATACCAAATATCGTTAGTTTGGTAGAATTACAAAATAAAAAAATAAATCTTTGATGTACAAACATGGTTAAAAATAAATAAATAGAATCTAGTAAGCTTGGCAGACTGTTAATCCGATTTATGATATCGGGGAGATCGAAGCTTCCAAACGAAATGATTGGGCAGTTTATTACAGGTGGAAGCTGCACAGCTAATATTCAGTCTTAGATATATCTCCGGGCGATGGTTATTTGCGGATGTCGTGTTCTCGAAGTCGTCGCACTTCAACAACGATCTGTTTTCGGGAAATCAAGTGGGCAGTGTGTTAGACTTTGTTAGAGCTGGCCCAGCATGAGCATTTAACGAATAATAGAAATTGCTATTCTAACTTGTTATTCTAATTTATTAGCCGTTTGATCAATGCAATTTTTTCAATTTAATTTCCATTTAGTCTCATTGAAATCGGTAGTTATTATTGATGTATACGCGTGAAAAACATGGTTATTAATATGGAGAAATTGTAACGGTAGATTTTTCTTTCTTTTTTCTTTTTAAATTTGGGAGGATTAATTAAATAAGGTTAAATTCATTTGATCTTACCTAACAGCTAGTGGAGCAAGTTCCGGAGAGCATCTCAATTCGACATTAATTACAAGGTCGTAGCAGGGCTTCTTTCGCGGTATCTTTTTACGTATTCTGTCGTGTACCGAGTATCTTCTCCATGTATCTATAACTTTGCTATCGTATGCGTATTCGTTCATGTTGCCGTAATAAAAAAATCGCCCACCGTACTCACCGTAGCCTAAAATTTAGAAAACGAACAACATTATTTATGGTGAAGTACGTCGAAATGGGGTTGCGTAGGATGTAATCATTGCATTCTTTATTCTTTTGTACATTAAGAATAGAAAAGAATATAGAGAAGAAAATATAAAAGAAAATTAATTTTCTCACTATTAAAAGGATAATAATGTAAAATAATAATGTTGCATAATCTCAACGCATGGACCATTTGAGATTGTTTTCCTTTTCTATTTCTTTTTCCTTTTCTTTTTAATATATCGAATAAAGTATATAAAACTTTTTTTCCATTTGAGGTTAATAAATATTTACAATATTTACAAGCATATTGTCATATTTAAAATATTCTTTATATTATTTTCATGCTCGAATTCCCTTTTACTTTTAATTTCACAATACCATGTACGAGACTATGCACTCTGTCAGTTTAAGTTAATTTGAATTATACGATAATTAATGCTTCTCAATCATTGGATGCGAATATTTTGTCAGGCCTGGCTTTACTTATACTCAGTCTCCCAGCCTTTCAGAGCGAATGCCCATCTTCGACCTTAGTACCTCCGTAGAAGAAATGAAATTCGTAATGCATGCCAGTCTGTGACGAAGCTAACGGTTGATTTGTTATTTTTAGTGTTTAAGTCGCGCGAAAAGGCTGGAGACTTCGTATGAAAAAACGCCGGAAAGTTTAACCGGAATAAGTAGAGCAGGGTGGAGGTTTTGGTGCCGGATGCTGGCTCGACATCTGCATCTTGAGCTCGCGCTCGTAGTGGAGCCGCTCGAGTCGGTGCTCGTTGACGCTGCCCACGAGTCTCCGGAGTCTCAGGTACATGAATCTCTGTCGGTCGCGCCAGGAGTCCTCCTCGCAGTCAGTACCCGGGACGTTGAAGCACGTGAACCACGAGCGCTCCATCACGTAGCGCAGCCTCATGCTGACCATGTTGCCGCGTCCGCGGCGGCCCCTTGTCATCCGGAAGTGGAGTACCTCGCGACCATCCAGAAGGCAGTCTAGTACGTCTACCGGTTTGCAGCCAGACACACACGAGTTCCTGCTGCGAACGTTAGATCATGTCGGTATGGGCTTTCATATGACGGAAAGGAAACGGAAAGGAAACCGAAAGGAAGTCGAAGTCGGGGCATCGCTTCGTTTAATCAAGTTCAATGCGATTATTGCAACTCCCTGACAGACGTTTTTTCTAGACTTACAGAAGTTTTTAACGACTTTGATTACTTTAATTAATAGCTTTCGCTGCATCATCATCATTGATACATTATGAAATAATCGTTTATTGTCTATTGAAACTTTTGAATACACAATTTTCTAATTACTTTTTAGATACTTTACGAATTTAAGATTTAATTTAATTTTATCTTCGGAATAAATCGATTAACATAGCATTATTTTAATTCATAAGAGCATCAAAGGAGATTTGATAAACTGTCGTATATAAATCAGCTATTAGTGCGAGATGAGTTGATGAGTTGACGTATCGCGCGATCAATAATTTTTACGCGAGAACAAAAAAATATACGAGAATATATTAAAACTCCTGCTTTTCGCGTCTCTTTTTTTCGAGCCATCGTCCTTAATTTAAATGCTTTGTGCAGCCAGAATGGGAAGTAGGATCATTGTAGCTCGAGTCCCAAACGCCAGCCAATCTTTGTCCAGGCAAAACTAATCGTAACTAACAATAACTCGCGAGTTCCAAATCAGAGCGAAAGTGAGAGCTTCCGATTTTGTGGAGGGAGCCCCACCTGTTGATCTTGCGCTCGGAAACCTTCTCAAAGTAATTCATGAAACGCTTGCACATGATCCCGAAGCCGGTGATGCAGTGAGCCGGTCCGTCCTTATTGAGCAGCAACTCGGGCCTTGTTCGGGCTAGCTTCAGGAGGTCGTCGAGCTCGTCCAGGATCTGGCCACCGTAGAAGCAGAGCCGAGCAAACTTCTGGTGCCGCGGTGGATGCGTGTAGCGCCAGACGCAGGCACGCAAGAGATCGTACTGGGCCTTCACTAGCTCCAGGTAGTCCCGTGCCTTGGCCCGCGTCGCCGCCTCTTGTTGAGCCTCCGCGGTTACGCTCACTGATTCCAAGTGATGCAAAGCCGAGCGCAGTCGCGAGCCCGCGGAGAGGAAGCCACTGTTGAGGAGCGTCGTTGCCACCGAGGAGCAGCGCCTGTTTCAAGCGACGTTATGCAAAAGAAAAGTCAAACTGCACATTAAAATAAGCCCCAGCTGACTTAAATTTTAAATATCTTGGCAGTAATTTTTAATAATTTTTCAACTGAGACGAGAGCGAGTGAGAGAGGTATATATATTATATATATATTATCATTTACAAAAATTTGTAAATAATCAAATCATATATATATATATATATATGTATAATGAAATGAATTTCTTATTTTATAATTAAAACTTTCGTTTATTGTTTATATGTTAAATCGTCGGTTGGCAAAATGCGAAAGTTTCAATTACCGATCTATCGCAGAAAAACAATGACTGATTTATCGGAATCATTGAAGGATGGATATCCAATAAAGTTACCTATTCAATAATTTCGTCGAATAATAGTACTTTTCAACTTATCAATATTACAATGACAATTTATGAAAGCGAGGAAGTTTACGAGGAAGTTTAGTACGTCATCCTTTTTTATCCAACACGTATGAAATGCTGTCTATTGGTTATTCCCGAATGTATAGTCATAGCTGACGGGACGTGAAAATCAGCGCGATTTCACTCACTTGGAGACCAGTCGTACACAACCGGCGATGTCACGGTAAGGAAGGAAATGCAGGACAATCTCGAGTACTTCCGGCGGCAGACTGTCGAGGTCATGGCTGAAACACGGTTTCTCCTTCGCCGTTTGCGAGTGTCGCAGGGAAACTCGTCGCTGTTTCTGTGGGCGGCTCATTTGGTACCAAAACTTAAGCTGCGAGTTTATCTGCGCGTTGCGCGCCTTGACTCTTTTTCGGTAGAACAGTGTTAAAGCCGATAGGTTAATACTTTCAAGGGTTAGGTTTTTATTTTTTATTCTTGCGCTTCGCTCACGTTTAAAATATATATCTTTATCCTTTTATTATCTTGTCTATCTATTTAGTTTATTTGGAGCTACTGGCGCATCATTAAAAAATACGGCGCCATGGCGTTTACGTTCGGTCAACTCCGGTTCTTTAAAAAAAATTATGTTAAAAGCTGCGATTGGCGCGATATTATAAATGACACGAACAAATGATGTCAACTGTTCATACTATTTTGAATTCGAACACATGACCGGCAGTTTTTCGTTAAATTTTAACGAGCATTATATTTATTTATCGTTTATTCGATTCCCAATGTAAACGAGGGTTTGCGAACTTGATTAACACGATCGTACAATTGAATCAATTTCTATCATTTTAATGCACATTTTATCATTTATAATCGATTGAATATTTTATGAATAACTAAAATAATTGATTTAAACTTGGAAATGAAATTTTCCAGTTACCATAACGTAAAATTTACTTCCACTTACCCTTCAATTCTAATAATATTAAAAGATCAAATTGTATTTAAAACTAAACTCCACTTTGGTTTTAGTGATAAAAGAAAAACAAATTTATACTTTAAATATTCATATTTAATTTTAATGAATTAGTATACGACAAATTAGTTTGATATCGGCATAAGGAATTTTAATTGTAAATTATGCATTTACATATTTTACAAAAATAATAATTTTAAGGTGTTTACGATCTCTGACAATTACCACATAATGAAATGAAAAAATTCTATGCACTAATAGATTGATTAGCAATAAATAACAGAGCATTTTAGATATATTTGCATAGTGCTCATTTAATTACAAATCCATTATATTAACAAAAATTAAATTGTCGCTAAAGTAGGTGCAAATATATCACTTATATTTCTGTTTTTAAAATCATTTTTGCCTTGTATAACTAACTACTTACAGAAACTCATGTCACAAAAAAGCAGTAAATGTATTTTAACAGTAATAAAATAGTTTTGGCAATAGAAATATACATTAATGAAATATAATTTACTGCGAGTATATTGGAATTTTTAAAAATCAATGCAATGCTTTCCTTTAGCATATATATATAGTTTAATTGTAGCTAAAAGACCTCAATATAAGTCTGTGTTGTTTTTCATATTTAATATTCTCTTATTACTTGCAAACTCATCGACTTTCACATTCGACGACAGAACATGTATTTCTAAATAAATAATTCATTCTGCGTATTAGTTCTTTCCCGACCTTTCATTTCTGTCAAGCGCATTTTCTCATATACATCGCGACCATATTGACGTTTCGAGGGTGAAGAGTGTAATTTTCCTTTTTTCTTCTTCCCGTCTTGTGTTAGTGAGCCGTTGGCACGTTAATTTAGAATCTTGTGATGATAAGCTCGACAGTTATTTCTTCTTTGCCTTCTAGTCGCGTTTTGATGTTTCGTTTTTATTACTAAATTTGTAAAGGATATAAGAGCCTTTATACTGTTCTTTGTAAGTTATTTGATTGAAGAAAAAGTTTTGTTACGTTTATGAGTATTATTGTTGAAGTTAGTAAACAATAGTAATTCCAATAAACGTTATTTAAGCCGTTATTTAGGGTGATTATATCAAATAATTTTTACACGGTTAAACATGATTTTTATATGATTTAAAAAAAAATAAAAAGGCTTAGAGAAGTTGATACTCTAGAATTTGTACGTATTGACTAATACAATAATTTTATAATAAAAGTGAAAATTATATTTTGCTATGTATTTTCAAATAGTAGTTTAGATTGGTATACCCAATAAGTTTATTTAATTGATGGAAATAATAAATTTTTTGAACAATGACGTTTTAATATATATCTTTAATGATATATCCCGATTATTGAATTATTGTTGTTTTAATAATAATCAATAATGTTAATCCTTAACAATTCATAGCCTCCTTAGATTGGATCATTGAATTCAATAAAAATAAAAGAAAAAGAATAAATTTATGAATAAATCTAAGCAGCCAAGCATATAAAAGAATTGTTTGCTCATCATAGATTATCGCCAATGTCAATATTTCAACTAACTGTTTTGTATTGTATGGTTATTCTTATTAAAGCGATCTTGTCTACAGGCAAACATAGACTATATCAAAACAGTACAATGCCTTTCAATGTCTGGTTCATTATTATTTTCTTCTTCACTGGAGCGAAATGCACCGAATTCGGAATGTCGTCGATGCCACCAACAATCCTCACCTTGCAGATGATTATTGATTTCGCAGTGGAAGAAAATTGGAAGCAAGTCATTTTCTTCGATTGCATTGGTAACAATGGTACTGTTCCTTGCTGTTTCATTACATTTCAAAGAAAAAAAAGAAGAAAGAAAATAATAATAGCAATAGTAATAATATTTATCATTTTATATATATTAAAAATAATAATAATAATAATAATAATAATAATAATAATAATAATAATAATAATAATAATAATAATAATAATAATAATAATAATAATAACAACAATAATAATAATAATAATAATAATATTAAAAGTACTCCAATTCGAATAATACTATATCGATAAGATAACGAGGGCAATACCAATTATCGTATGATATTTTTCTTGCCGATGCCTGTAGATTGTGGTCGTACGTATGCGATACCACTTATGAATTGTTTTGCCGATCATGGGATTCGAACGTCGATCAAATCATTGAGCGAAACAACTGATTTATTCCAAATGTTCAACGTTGGACTTAGTCGTTTGGGGGTAGTTCTTCTTCTCGATGATATTGATCTTGATTCAGAAAACAACCTGTTTCATAAGGTAATTTAAGGCAAAAAAGGAAAGCCCATCTTTTGAGAAATAATTATATTATATACGTTTTCATTATGTAAATGTAATGAAAAAGTTTTTGGCCATTCACTTATCATACACTCACTTTACACTTACACCATTCACATACACTTTTGATTAGATATTGCATTAGATATTTTTTTTCTTACCACAAGTAAATCGAGGGTTGTATGATTGATGAAAGGGAAATGCAATCAATCTTACATGTTCTCTTACATGTAGTTTTAAATCTTCCGCAATAGTGGAAAAAAATATCCTTCCAACTTACGATTGAAACGTATTTTTAAAATTTCAATTAAAAAATCATTATATAAGAGTCCAGCATTATAATAAGAGTGTTTCTTTTCTTTTTTTATTTTTTATTTAATAAACAGCATATTTTATCCACGATAAACACGATAAACTGTCTTCTAGTCGTAAAATATTAGCTCAGTTAATTTAACGATTGTTCAGCTAACTCCACACAATAAAACTACCAGACCAATTGTTCTCGGTCCCTACGTGTCCTGGCTCGTTGTTAGTACTAAATGGAATACAACCCAAATCCTTAATACGGTGAAAGATTGGCCTATTGGAATTGACACTGACTTCTCTATCACTATGTCCTTCTTAACTGCTGATGTTATTCTTGATGTTTTAAATCAATTCGCAAACAGGTAATATAAAATATATAATTTTTTACTTTATGTATAATTTTTAATTGTAAAATTATTTATTTTTTAATTGAATTTTATTGTAATCACCTACTCTCTAGTATTCCCATTCATTTGATCTAATGTATTTTCTTTTAGTTTGTGCAATTACCTTGACATCTCAAACTCGAACAATTAACTTCAAATATTTTATTATTATCATTTAATAGTATTTATTATCTAATCTAATCATTTTGATTTACATCGACTTCTTCTAAGATTATTTTAATTTGTGAAATTAAATTCTAGAACCTGTCGTCATCTGCATAGTTATACGAAGACATACGACTATGAGAGACTGCGCAGGAGTCAAAGTATTTCCCCACCGGAAATGACATTCGTTCAAGAGTTTAATAATACTTCCAAAATCATTAAAGTTTTTTTCATCGCATCGGTGTATAAAATTCGTACCGAGGGCAATGAGAGTCTCGAACTAGAAAGTTGGGATTTTTGGAATCCTAGTCGACGACACATTAAGAAGGAAAAAATTACAAATAAGATGAGGACGAATTTAAAGTAAGTTTAACGTGTAAATTTTTTTTATTTCTTTCTTTTTTGCTGATATTCATCGAGGCAAATGTAATTTTATTATGAACATTTCCCTTTTTCCAATTTGAATTCCAGTGAGGATTCACATATAAGTACGAGCAAATTTTTTTTTAATTAACAACGATGGTAGTCTGTGTGCGATAGAGCTTACTATCTGTTTTTATTTAAGGCTTCATATCATGAATTTTGGCTTGCGCAATGTCACAAGATATTATGAAACCAACGACGATCCGACGCAAATAAAAAATATCGACTATGCGAGTAGTGTCGAGACATTGCAGGAGTTGATCAATCTTTTCATGAAGTGTCTCAATGTTAGGTAAATATTGTTCAAAACTTCTTACTTAAAGCTTCTCTAATTATATACTTATATTAATACGCAAAGATTATTTTTTACTCGTGCCTTTATTTTATTTATCGATGTCATTATTTGTCTATTAAGAGTTAACTGGCGATTCTAAACAGTCAAGTAAGTAAGACTCATAGACTATTTAAATTATCATATAATTTAAATATCATAATATTATATAATATTATCATAAAAATAGTATGGTATGCAAAATAATGTGCAAAATCAATTATTGTTTCATGTACAATAATTAGAAAATATTTAAATAATACTAATAAGACATCATGTATTCTAGAAATTATATTCATTCTTTATAATTCCTATTTTATTTTGTAATAAGATATTTCATAGAAAATTCTGCGACCTTTTAAATATTACGAGAAAACAATGTCTTTTGCAGTGAAAAAATAACTTTTATTCGCATCGATATACGCATATTAAATTCGAGTTTACAGAAGTAAATCAATGATCTTTACTAAGCTATCGACAGAAAAATTTACTTGTCCTATTTTTAGTCGAAAATAAAAGTTAAATGGAAAATTTTAAATCATGCATGATGTCTTTATAAAATAATCGTTAGCTTTCTAATTAAATGCCCTGCAAATTTTAACTTTAATATATTTATGAATTTCGTCGGACAATTTTATTGAAAATGTTACTTGATATGCTTGCAATTATCCTACCTAAAGATTTCACAACGAATAAAATCATATATTATCTCTTACAATAAAAAGCCAGTTTACTTATTTTATTATTGTAATTATCAATAACAACACACATATAAATTAGTAAGTGAATTCGATATATTAATCGAATAAAAGTGCATCGACAGTTTAAAAATTAATTTTTATATTTTTTAATTGGTTGTGTTGATGACTCAATGTCATGAATTTTGAATATAATTATTGCATGAATGCATAAACATAATTAATTCGTCGTTAGGCGGTGATTTTATTATAACGAAATTTATACGTAGACAAATGAAATTTAATCAAACGTAACGTACGAGAATAAGTTGATAAATTTGATCATATTTTTATGTTTCAAGAACGATCAATTCTATGAAATCAATAGCGAATGTAAAATATCCGCTTTCACACATATCTAGAAGATAATCATATTCGCGCGAGCTTGCAATTTTTAACTTTAAACACAAAACTTGAATGCAACTTATAATTTAAACGATAATAAAATACGGTATTCCTATAACGCGTAATTTGGCCCAAATCGATATTAAAGCTTTCATTTTTTCAAAAGAACCATGACTTAACCGACACTTGACCAATCTTTGTAAATAGTAAAATGGCCTTTGGCAATCGTATTGTAGATAAGTGTCTCGATATTCCAGTGCAAATATCACGAATTATGTCACGGCGCAGACAAGCACGACGAGCGAATTCGTGAATGCAATCATAAATGGAGATATCGACCTAGGCGTTGCTTATTTCGACGTCGACCTTGAGCGCCAGGACATGCTTTCTTTCAGCTATCCAATCGTTCATTACACGTGAGCGGCTCTTCTTTTCTACTTTTCATTACGAAGAAAGGACTGTCGATATTTTGTGCATCACAACGCAATTTTCATACAGTTCTTTCTTAGAAATGTAAAAAAAATTATTTATTTCCTATTGTCGATATTTAGATTTTCATACAATAAGTACTTATTTCTTACTCGGAAATAGGCGAATTCGTATCTATAATAGTGATTTTCCCTATTTTTGTTCTAATTTCACAGAAGAAGCATTTATTTTAAGCCTCCGCAGACATCCATCAATATATTTTTACGGCCATTTAGTAAAAAAATGTTACTCTGTGTCCTAGCGACGTTGGTATTAATAATAAGTGTAATGGAGATTATAAATTACGTTACACTCTTTATTCATTGGAAGGAGGATAGAGAACATTTTGGTCTTGGGGAAGCGACACTTTGGTGCATCAGTATCATGTGCATGCAAGGTATGTAGAAGAATCGTATTTCTAATAAACATTTAGTATGGATAAATTTGCACGTAAACATTTCTAAAAAGGATATTTTCAAAACGATTCATACGATCTATTACATTAAAGTTTTGTATTTTTACTCTTGCTCAATTGATAAGTTTATGACTTTGCATCGCGATGCTTTCTTTATCGTTGCATTAAATACGATAATCATTATTTTTATTGCCGTTAAGATGCTCTGGTTTTATGTCGATCAAAAGTTTCTTCCTATTTGCCATTATCGATCCAATGAAATCGATGATATTGAATCGAAAACTCGTGCTTGCTTTATCGATTTTTAGGATCGCCTTGGACACCAAGAACGCGAGCTGGGAAGACTGTGCTTCTGGGCAGCCTAATGTTTTCTCTGATGACTTACAATTCGTATTCCGGATCAATAACGTCAATTCTGTCGGTGAAAACAACCGCGATCAGCAACGTATCGGATTTCTTCGATTACGATTATGTCTTCGGTTGTAGCAAAATGGACGATGCTTACATAACCGTTAGTTCGCTTTTCGCAAAAAATCCTATTTTCATTGCGATGACAATTATTCTATTCTAATTCAATTCTAATTCATCAATGTCAGAATTTAATATCGTACTTCACAATAAAACGCGTAGGGATCAACGACATTTTAACATCCGTATTTAACCTTATAATCCAACTAATTAGCACCATGTCCAATATGTTTTTATCTACAAATTGGTAAATACGAATTCCTTTTTTTGCAATGAGTGCATTGTATCTCGAATCCTCGAATGTCAAATGAGGTCCACTAGGTAAACCAAGGAACGATCATAATATGCTTTTTTACTGACAATTTTTTTAGACCAAGGAAGAGCTACGTAACTTTTACGTAAAGGCCTTGGAGAAAGATCAGCTGAGGGTGTCGGAACAAACGGGCCTCGAGAAGAGCATCAATGGCAGCTACGCGTACTTCGTTACGGAAACGGTGGCCAGGCGTATTTTGCGCAAGGCCCTGATGTTCCAGAGGTGCAAAATTAACGAGCTCCAGACGAAAACGCCAGGTGTCTTGGCGTTGCCGATCTCCGCCGTTAGTCCTTATAAAAAAGTCATTGATATCAGGTACGCCCGCCGACGAGAGTCGATGTTAACGAGTGCATGGAGGAACTGCTTTTGAGTACGAGTCAATGACTCAATCGAAACTTAATTATATCTTTCAATTTTTAACTAAGGTGTCTTTGTTTTGCCAGTAGTTATTTGCTTGGCCAGAGGTAGCGTGACTCGAAGTACTTCCTCAAATGCCAATCTCAAAATCGCTATTAACGGCCACTAACTCTTTGGCATTTCTTTCTCTCTATCATTCATTTTTTTCTTGTCATAATTATTTATAATTTAATTTGCCAAAGGCAGCTGATACTTGCGTTAGGCGCTGAATAATAATAGAAAGATGATAAAGAATCCAATCGATCGTTGAAGGAGCATCGCCGGTACAGATTATTCGCCGCGGACTATTATTAGAGGTCGCTTGGGTATTGTCATGTGGTGAATTCCTAACCTTCTCCCTTTCCTCTCAGGTCACACCTCGAATAGTTAAATAATGGCGACTCTCGATTTAGAGGCTTTATTTTCTCAACATTCTACTCTCGCAGTCTTGCGCGTTATTTAGGAAAAGTCTTGTGACATTGGTGAAATAATATAAACACTAATAATTATCAGGTTGGTTGGTTAGAATCACGAGATGGCCGACTAATTGGGTCTGTGCGCACTTTAGTGCATTCGTTGAAACCACAGTCGTGCGTAAAAAGTATATAATTTGCGAATCATTGTTTTGTTTTGTGTTTATGTTTTAATACAAGTCTTACATTCCAATGTCGATCTTAATTTAAAATTCAAAATTTCAATATTAAAATATAAATAAAAATATTAAAATTAAACTTGCATCTATTAATGCGGATACAGATTCGGATAAGTTCGGATATTAATGAAAAATGCCATTAATCGCTTGTAATTGCTGCACTCTTTTCCTATCCGAGCTTTAAGTATTCTTGTTGTATAAAGTTTGATAAAGCTTCTTCATAATGGGTTTTAAAATTAGTTTAAAACACTCGAGCTAATGTTAACGGCTATTTCATCTATTGTATTTTGGAGATAAAAATCGAGAAAAAAATCCACGTAGCCTTTGATTTAAAACTAAAGACGTCATCGGAATCCGATCGCAAGCTCTCTCTACTCCTTATGTACAACACGTGAATAACATGAACAAATCCATCTCGTAGCATTCTGCGGCTATGGCAGTACGGCATCCTGCCGAAGCTCAGTCTCCTAATAAAGCCTCCGCTGCTAAATTGCGAGGGTGTCCTCAAATATAACCAGGCGCGTTTTATGGATGTTTACGGGGCATTCGTAATCCTACTGGCGGGGGTCATCGGGTCCATTGTCATTTTTTTCATCGAGCGCACCTGGGCCAGCAGACAGAGCCTCAAGGACATTCAGATGCGTATCACCGGCAAATACGAGGATACGCTTCGACCGCCTAACGATGACGTCTTTGACACGACCAGGCGAGTAGACCTTCGGTATTTTCGGCTTTTAGTGCTTACGACCACCTCGAGTTTCGCATCTCCAAATGAGAAATTGACTTGGACGCATTAGTGCGAATGAGAGAAGCCCTTTGGTATCGAATGTGTTAAAATTATTTTTATAATTTGCACCGTTTACTTGTACCATTGCAGATTATCCTTGAAAATTCTTAGTTTGGATCGTTCGCAAGGAGAAGCGAGGCAAAGCAAGGATAAAAATTTGTTGACTAACGACGAGTTCGGCTCAAAAGGGATCGGTAGTATTAAAACTCGTGACTTCGGAGGAGGAGACCTTACAAAGCCTCGAATACGCATCAGAGAAGTGCAATTCATAAGGTTTCCTGATAAACGTCCACCTCTTTTCCCTTACTGTCCATGAAGGCGTTCGATAAAAAATTCGGGCTTCTTTTCATGCCTATGAAAATTATTTTATAGCCATTTTACATTTTAGTTATAATAATAGTTTTTTGTTTTTGTATAAAAGAAAAAAAAACGATTTAAATGATTAGATATCTCAAATAGTGATTATTTACTTAATTAATAATAATGCATGTATATCCTGTACAAAACCTTTATGTAAACAATAATAAATTTATTGAAAATTTTACTTCTTTTACATAAAAATAGATTTTTTCGCATACGATTTACGATTTCACGCACGCATGCACATACACACACACAAATGTGTAACCTTTTAAATATTTTTTTAAAAATAAATAATAGACTAATTACTTTCATTATTAAAATTCATTATATACTTGTTTAAGAACTTATTTGACAATTCGATTTGATGCTTAATTAATTAATGATTCACGTATTTCAGTATAATGTTATTCGGAGTTTTTTGTTAAATTATCGCGACATAATTTTTTATTGTTAATACGAATTTGTGGTATAGCATATTATATTATAAGATTGTAGTTATTCATTAAATATGACGTTTGAGGAAAATCAATTTTTGTACTTAAAAAAAAAATAAAAAAAAAATGACAATGTATTTTGTAACTGAATAATCGTTTACAGTTATTTCGTAATAATACGTATTGCAATTTAATAACTAACGTTTCCAGTTTATATTAAATTTGCACCGTCATTATTTATATAGAAAAATTCGTAATTAAGATGAAATTTTAAATACTTCATTTTCTTATCTATTTAGAAAAAGATCTTAATTACTATTTTCAATCGCTTTATATATGATAATAAATAATAAATGATAATAAATAGAGATGATACCGTTGAACAATCCAAAAATTAAAAAATTACCAATTCTTGACCGGTAAATTACGGTATAGAAAATATTTTCAATCTTATTTCAGTTATACGCTGTTAAATAATTCCATTGTACTGTCTTCCGGAAGTATATTCTTGCTCTTAATTATTCTCGATATGCAAACCTTAAAGCGATTAATTGTACATTATTGGTTTTATCTACGATAGTTCAATAGGACATTGTATTATTCTTTGCGCAATATATTTGATTACAGAGTTCATAAATAAATATCAAACAAAAATAAGAAAAAATGACATTTTAATTTTTATATACGACATCCGTGTTATTGCTACCCTACTCCTTTCCTGTTATGCCCGCAATACAAAATGCTCCTCAATTTTGTGAAGGTGGTACCTCTCAAATATAAGATGTACAATGATATAAAAAATACATCACCTTTTCAAAACAAGAAAAATTATCAACGTTATTTACATAGCTAAAATTTTACTCAACATTTTATTTTATCGTTTTCGTGGAAATGAATTACCAGACTGCAATCGTCGTCCTCGCAGTGACGGACGTATCTTGTCAAAAAGAATAAAATAAATATCGACGGAGGAAAATAACGAGAACAAGGAAGTCCGTTGCTTCTATATAATGGCCTTACTTAAGCTATTTTCAACTTCTCATCGAGCAACACGAAATTCTTGCTATTGATTACTGTCCTCCACTGTGTTCTCTCGACCGCCGGTAAGTTCTTTCGTCTCCTAAGCTCTTTCTATCTCATAACGATCCGCTTTTTATCTTTGTTATCAATTTTGCGATGTCGATTCGGATAATTTAAATATAATCTTGACAATTCCTTGCATACTATCGACATTTATGAGAAAGCATCGGAGCAAAATGCGCCAACGGTAGATGCGGCTATTTCCTCGCGTCAGTTAAACGGTTATTGTGTATATCTATTATATTAAATATTAAATATTAAATATTAAACTATTAAATATTATTATGTATATTGAAGCGCTCGTAAGTCGGGTTAGGATCGTAAATTATTAAATTAAAGATTACAATGCGTAACGTTGACGCACCTCTTGCGTAAAAACAATATGTAATTCGCATTTACATACAATTGACAAGATTTTTAATAAGTGCAGGCACGTGTCTTAAGATAGAAAAAAAAGAAAATAATGAAAAAAAAAAATACGAAGACTATTTAAAAAGAAAAAAATGAAATCTCTTTATAGAACTGACCGATGAGTATTTGGTACGCCTACCCAGGGTGACGTATAACCTTCTCAGCTTTGGGAATTGGACCAACGTTTCTGTATGCGCGGCTCACTGCCTGACTTTGAAGAAGGCCGGCGGCTCGTGCAAACATGGCATGTGCCATTGTCGGAAGTGAGACCAAATAAACATTCAAGAAGCCTCGGAAGAAGCTGTTGGGCATGAGATTTTAGGCTTTCTGTTTATTGTAACTTTTAATCAAATTAACCTTTGGTGAAAAATTGATTGTTATAAAGTCACATTGCTTTACTTGTATTATACGCATCGTTAATGAGGTACGGTTTATATACAATTCATTTTTGGCAATTTCCAGAAGAACATTTACATTACCATCTTTGAGAAAGATCGGATTATCAGTCAAGTTTTTCTTACATAGTAGCTAATACAATTTCATGCGAGGCATTTACAACATTTTAGGAAAAGCTTTTTAATAATATTTTGTATAAATTAATAATTTAATTTTGTGCGTGTGTGTGTGTGTGCGCGCGCGCGCGCGCGCGTGTGTTTTACAATTATTCCATAAGGAGATCTATCATTTGGAATGTGATTGGTTCAACATCCAAATAAATCTATTCTTAATTGTATCGAATAAATGTAATGTAAATATTATTAATGTATAGTTCATGGTATCAAGATATTCAAGTGTAAGCGGCTCGGATGATTATTTTTCTTAAATAAAATATATCTCGTCAAACATATTTGTTATTATTTTGCGACTATAAATTTGTTCAAACTATTACGTTTTCGCTAATTATAAGTTTGCTGATAATTTGTAGGATAAAAAATGTTTCTCGCTGAATAAAGTAATATAACTAAATAATTCCATTTGTTTTTAATTTATTAAAGGTCATGATCAATGAAATTATAATATATCGTTAATATATAATTTGTATATCAACGCTATTTTATAAAATGGTATTTTTGTTTATAATTCATGAGATATATTATAAACAAAAAAGTACTTTATTTATTAAACTTTATGATATTTTTTATTAGAAGTATAATTCATAATAAACGAACACGATTCACGTATTAATTGTAATGGAAATTATTTTTTTAGCAACATCAAAATTTTAAATTCGAGGTTAGTGGGATGTTCCCGCATTTTTTCAGATTAGGTTATGTTTGTTTGTTTTGTTTAGTTGTTGCTATACCGGCAAATAATATTATATATAACTGACGTGTTTCTTGAAACATAGAATAAAATTCTCTAAACTATGGCTACAAGGAAGGATTTAATCGATGGTAAGTGGCTAATAATAACGAAGAAAACGAATAAACGTGGCGTGCGAAGTGTTATTTAAATTTACTCGCGCCCCTCTGCTTCCAACTGAATTGCACATTGAATATATATAATCTTTAATTAATCACACTCTTAATGCGTATAAATTCATCAAATAAATTGCCAATTTTTATTATTTAATCGTTAGTTCGAGAATAATTTTACAATTGATGAAAAAAAAATCCATTCTTAGCTGTGAGAACATCTTTGGATGCGGATGGAGAGTTAAGTCAAATAAAAGCTGCTATGAGAACAAAAGTCATGAAGTTGCTGGAGGGTTCACATAGATCCAGTAGATCTAAATGTCTAAAGTCTCCGCGCGAAGTTTTAATTATTAACGAACTTATTAGAGAGTATTTGGATTGGATGGGATACAAGTATACATCAACGGTGCTCATTTCGGGTGAAGTATTTTAATAATTCTTGTTTAATTTACACGATTAATTGAAAAACACATTTATGCACTTTTTATTAATGAATTTATTAAATATTATTTTTACAATATAGAATGTGAATTATCGAAACAACCTTTGGATCGAACCTTCATTAATAAAGATTTGGGAACTGTGGAAACGGAAAAGACAAAAGATGTGCCATTACTGTTTTGCCTTATCGAAACATTAAAGGAAATAAAAGGCGTGTAATCGTAATAAAGTGATAATCATAATTATTATGTAAATTTAAAGTCTTGCTTTAAAGAAAAAAAAGGAAAGAAAAAAGTAAGAAAGAAAAAACAAAATACAGTCAAAGAGTATATTTGAAAGTTGACTTTGTATTATGAATTTATTGTTGTTGCGTGGTATAGTAAATAAGGATAATATAATATTTATCAAGAAATTGGCATTTATTTATGACTTGTTTTCCCGTACACTAGCATGTATGTATACAAAGTGCCTTTTCAAATAATTTCAGCTATTTATCGGTGTGACAGTAGTTTGTATATGCATATACACATTGGGCATGAAATTTGTGGCAGAACTATTCAACATTTATGCCGACATTAGTCCTAATGCATAAATCACTTTATCCCCTACCTTCTTCGGGCTGAAATCAGTTACTAAACGTATTATACAAATTAAGAGAATCTCGCTCATTATAATTAAGTTCCACCTTCCAAAAAGCGTTCTAATGTCGCTCACGATTAAAGTAAAAACTCGCGATTATCATCGTATTTTTCACCACTCGTTTCTCTCGATGATTCATCCTTAACTCGATATCACTTTGTCTTCTCGTGGTCGCTGTTCTAATGGCGTCATTTGTGCTTCGATTTTTTCTTCTTCTTCGACTGTTTACTTTTGCTCTTGGACTTCTTCTTTTTGCGGTGCTTCTCCTCCTCGGAGCTAGAGTCCGACGAGTCGCTGTAAGCGTCCGAGTCCGAGCTGCTGTCCCTTCTGCTGGCCTTGCGCTTCTTTCGCTTCTTATGCTTCTTCTTCTTCTTTCTATGGGATTCTACCGAGCTGTCCGACTCCGTGGACGAGCTCTCCGTACTGCTGGAATCTTCGTCCTCTGAGCTACTTTGCTGAAATTAAAAGATTAAATAAAACAAAAAAAAAAAAAAAAACAAAAAAATAAAAAAAAACGAAAAAAACAAGACATCTATGCAATATGCGTGTGTGCATACGCATCTATATTATCGGAACGTTCAATTATCAATGTAAAATACAAAAATAGAATGTATACGAGGTGTGTAACTAACTATCACGCATAAAATTCTAAAACTGCTTTTAGTTTTTACTGTCATTACGCCCTCGGTCAAAGAATCGCCTAATCTATGCCTTTTCTCAAAAGCATTATATCATTCATTGCAAGTTTTCCTCTTAACTGAGCCCCCCTCCCCCCATTGATTTTGAAAGCAACCACTTGCGATTAATGCAAAATATATAGCGCGTCAAAGAATATGTTATAGGTGCTGCTGATTTCTGAGAAACACGCGCAAACGGTTGAAATCTATGCTTTTTCAAGACTTAGCTGACTCGCTGCTAATTGATTGACCAGTCGTCACACCTATGATCTCCAAGCTTTATTAATACTTAAATAATACGATGGCTACGATGACAAACAAATCCGGTTGGGCGCGCAATCTCGAATTTTTCTACGAAAGAGAAGAGGCTGATAAAATCACCTTCAGCCGCTTCTTGGAGGCCTTGGCCTCGGACTCGACACTGATGGAGCTGTCGTCGGCCTTGGCCCGCTTAGTGGCGATGAGGGTTGACCTGTCGTCGTCCTCGGACTCGGAGTCGGTGGCGGAGTAGTCGGGTTCGAAGCTCGCCTCGTCGAGGACGCTTCTCTTGCGGTCGGAGACAAGTCTCGGGTTCCTGCGCTGCTTCTTCCAGGCCTCGAGGCTTATGGGCGCCTCGGCCGCCTCCTTTTCCTCGTCCGCCGATTTTTCCTGGACGAGCAGCTCCTTCTCCTTGCTGCGTTTTTGTCGCCTGTCTACGATCTTCTCGCGCTCCTTCTTGTGCTTCTTGTCCTTGCGCCTCTTGCGCTCGCGCGACTTGCTGCGACTGCGGTGCTCCTTCTTCCGCTTCTTGTCGTCTCTCACCTTCTTCTCCTTCTTTCGCTCGTCCTTTTCCTCCTCCTCCTCCTTCCGCAGTTTGTAAGAAACGAGGGGCGGTGGCGGCGGGGTCCTCGTTATTCTATCCACCTTGCGCAGATCCGTTCTTTCGTGGATGCGCATCGGCTCCTGCGGTCAACAGGGCACGTGGTTGAGAAAGGAAAATTTCAGTCGACCATCAATTACTATTAGCGTTTTCTCGTCCCGCTCTCAAGCTCTTCATTCGCATAATTCGCAATTTGCAAATTCGCTCAGCTTTTGAATAAATCGAATGGATCGCACGACCTGGACCATCCATTACTTATCCTTGCCGACGAGAGAGCGAACGAATAATGCCCTTTTTTATTTCTTCTCGCTTTTAGCGAGGATTTTTGCATTTTGTAAAAATTTTTCTTTTAATAAGCTGACCTTACGCGGCTCTATTAGCCATATTAGCAAATTACTTAATTATTATTTATCGGATACTCTATGATATATCATCTTCGTTTAAATGTATGACTGGTGCATAAGAATCGATCGAACTTTTAAAGTATTCAAAGTGGCGAGCCTGAAGTAAATATTTTGCATCGATAATATCGCGAATAATAAAACATTAATTTATTGAATGTGAAAATTGTTGGTATACCTCCTAATGTAACATATCCTTCTAATAATATTATTGTTAGTGCGCATTATTAGCCATTTCTTTCTGTTCTATTATAAGTGACAAAAGTATGGCTGTTTAGTTCATAAAAATTTCATATGGATTGGCGTTTTTTTTATTTATTTATTTTTTTTTAAAGTTACGACAAGTACTCTCACCGTCGTTACTTATTTTGTTAATAACTATCATACAATAAAATTAAAAGAAAGAAAAAACGAAAAAAATTAAAGGAATTTAAAAAAAGAGAAAAACAAAGTACTATATTCATTAGGTATTGATTAAATTTTATAAATTTCAGCCGGAATTGTTAAATTTACCAAGTGTTGCATTATACAGTTAACATAATCCTTTAACGCGAATTTATGTACTTTACAATTAACAATAGTATATAATTTATTGATTATTATTAAATGCTTGAAATGCTTGCAGCATATCATTGTAGTTATAATTATTATATCAATAACTAATTATTGGGTGCGTTTGTTTCCTTGTTAATAACGAATTACAATAATTTATAAATTATTACCTGTTGCTCTTAAATCTATGAAATAGCGCATATATTGATTAGCAATAATAATACAATATCAATAATAACAGCACGAATAACAGCAATAATAATGATTTAATAATTGATATATTAAATAACGAGGAAATTATATGACTTTTATTTATAAGACTTTTGTACGTTATTCGCTTAAGACTGCTCCTTAAATTAGTTGAATGACAAAGTAGCTTTGAATTAATTAGATAATCGAACAAGTATAGATTTTGCTAACATTTAAAACAAAAAAGATAACAGTCTAAATAAAGAACGTCGCCTATCTTTCCTTTCTTTATGAGATTTATTATACAGTTGTAAAAAATTCACGAAATACTCGTATTATCTTATTTATGTATCATTCGTGCAATCATTATTAAAATTATTAACCATTATTACGGTTCATTTTCTCCGCGTATAATAAAAGCTACCTAATGAGAGTTTCATTTGTTCATATAAACTCAAAGTTTTTCTAAATTTTTAATCGATCAAATTAATGCCTAACTAACGGTATTTGAGCATATATTATTTTAGTATTTTCAATATTTGATTGTATGCTAAATATCTAATGTAATAAACGAGAAATTAACTTTAATTAACTTTAATTTAATTTAAATTAACTTTAATCGCCTCGCTTAACTCGTGGCTTTAAAAAAAAAAAGAAAACAATAACAACAACACTACGTCCAGTTTAAATTATACATGACGTAAACTTTAATATACTTATTAATGTAACATTGGGTATATTACAACAATACCGTGCTCGTTACTATTAAAACAACATTAGTTAAAATAATGTCTCAGTTTAAAGTGTCAATTTAATTGTTTCTCCATCTTCCTGAATCTGCAACCATCGACCATCAAGACGATAAGATATGTTAATGGTTAACTCGTATTAAAAGCTATTGTTAGTGATGTTTTCTACACGACTTACCATCGCCACTACTTACCTCTAAAATTAAACGCACCCAATTAGTCTACAAAGACAGAAAACCACTGTTACCAATGTCAAAAAATACGTGCATTATATTAAGTAAATAGTGCCAAGGGTTGATAAGTTATGCTTACCTCGGATTGTCTAGGCTCGATCCTCGGCCTTTCCATCTTCTCCCTCTTCCTGTCCTCGACGAACACCTTCCTCTCGGGATTTGGCAGGAGGGACACATTGTCGATGCGAGTTTCGAGCGAGACAGAGACGCGCCTGTCTTTGTTGCTGACCCGGGGCGAGCGGCTCCTCGGTGTCAAGTCACCACCCTTGCTCGCCTCGCGTCGTTGATCTACCACGCACTTTATACTTCCGATTTTCGCGTCATCCTCGATCTTTTCGCCCAGGCGCTCCTTTACCGAGAGTCGCGTCGGCGACAGCTGCACGCCCTTGAATTTTGGCCTCTCGACCTTCGTCTTTTTTAGCGGCTCTGACGATATCTCAACGTTACGTTCGTTCTTCCCAACGTTCAGGGTCACGTTTACGCTCTTGCGTGATTCTCTTTCAATTTCCGATTCAAGGACCTGTGGATCGTATATTCAACGTTAATACCCATGCTGCTGCCCTTCCCATAATCATTCTCAGTAAATTACATGCAATATTGCCTCTGGGCAACTACTTTATTATCTGCTAAATTTCCTTTCGAATTTGTCTGCCTGCCTCAATCGCTACGTACATTTAATCAACTTCTAGTTTAGCAGTCATAACATTTTCGTTCTTTTCCATTACATTTGCAATAGCTCGAAGTTAGATTTTTTTCTTCTATTATTTGTTTTTGTTTTCGAGCAATAGAAGCCCTTTAAAGATTAAAGTTAACTAAAGAGTATACATTCACTTTTCTTTCATTTGTATTTTCAAGAGGCCACAAATCTTACATTACATTTGATAAATAATAGAAAATAATAGAATAATGTCTACTATTAAGGACATTATTCATAATTATTATTCATTGAATAACGAGAAGAAAACTGTAATGTTTCAAAGTATGTATTATAATTGATATTGAAATTAAATGATCGATAATGTCTAACACTAACAATATCATTAACATCTATGTAATTACGAGTAATTAAGAGGAAACATTTTTTTTTTTTTAAACGGGAGAAATCGATTAATTATCAGATCAATTTATAATGTACTTTAATAAAGTACTTATAAACAAAACATCATCGCCACCATAACACAAGGCGCTAACGGTAAGTAAATTTTATGACGTCGTGCATTAAGTTACGATTACGAAATGCGTAAAGGGACCACCGACCTTTGGTTCTGGATTTTGGTACAGCACTTTTCTGCTCTCGCTTATCTTCTTGATCTCAATGGGCCTAATGGCATTGATGGCCTTCTGAAATATGGCATTCTCGGCCCTCTTGAGCACCTCCGTCGTGACGACCTTGGCGCTCTTAGAGTCCTCGGGCTCGGACGACTCCCTCTCCGTGGCCTCGGAGCTATCGTCGAGCTTGTCCGTACCCTCGTCCCTCTCCCACTTGGAAAGCTCGGGCAAGGGTGCGAGGAACTCTTCCTTCTTCGGCGAGCTACTTACGGGCGCGGCCTCCGTCTTCTCGTCCTCGATCTCCCCGTCCTCTCGCGGGTGTCCTTCATCGTTTTTGGACATTGTTACGCTCGTAGTCGTGGTGATCTCGGTGTCGTCAACCAGGCCAGCATACAGGCTTTCCGCAATCTTCGACTCGGACTTGGAATCGATCGCTTGGCTATCGGGCTCGATCAGGACGCCACTTTTCGATGAGCTCTCCGGGACTTTGATTTCCGGTGGTTCCGGGTTCATCGACATTTCCGCGGCGTTCAGCTTCTTTTCTTCGATTTTTGGCAACTTCACATCGTCCTGAGGCTCGGACTTGACCACCATATTCGTGAACTGGATGAGGGGAGTCGACTTGAGGGACCTCACGGGCATCTCGGTTAACGGGGCTTCGTCGCTGGACTGCGGTTCCTCTTTCACCTTGACGATGGGCAACGTTGTGGAGCTAACCACCGCAGCGGCTGCTGCTGCTGCTGCTGCTACGGCGGCCGCCGCTTCCTTCTGTATAAGCGCCTTCTTCTCCTTCTTCTTCTTCTTCTTCTTCTCCTTGTCCTCGTTGTCTTTCTTCTTCTTCTTGTCTTTGATTTTCTTCTCTTTCTTGCGCTCGTCCGACTTGTCCTCGTAGTCCTTCTCCTTCTTGCGTGGACGCTCGGGGGTAGTGTCCTTTATCTCAGGACGATATTTCGAGGAGTAAGGGCTGGCGCTTCTCTTGCTTCGTTTACGATCAACCGAGTGACGATCGTAACGATCGTGACGATGACTACTTCCGCCGCCGCCGCCGCCGCCGCCGCCGCCGCCGCCGCCGCCGCCGCCGCCACCACCGCCACTGCCGCCACCGGCACCGCCACCGGCACCGCCACCGGCACCGCCACCGGCACCACCACCGCCAGTACCACCACCGCTACCACCGCCACCATCTTTCTCGTAATCATAATCACGATCTCGTCTCTCTCGATCGTTTCGAGTTCGAAGCTTGTCGTCATTTCTGTGCCTGTCCCTATCATCCTTGTACCTGTGTATGGACAACAGAATTTATTATAGAAGATCTAAATTCTTCTTTAAGATTCCTATTGTAATGAGGAAATAGAGTTTATAATTTAAAAGAAGGAAAAAGAAAACAAGCAGTCGTTCGACTTTATGGTGCATATGAAAGTCGTATAGATAGTTACTATACTACATACATATATTCTATGATCTACAGCTAATTCTCAACAAATAGCCATCCCCATATCGACCAAACGAAATGATGAAATACACATATTAATGCGTCACTTTAGCACAATTATTTTATTAATACAATTTTATGATTTTAACATTGGATATGTATAGACATGTGATATGTGGACATAAGGTAATATCTCTTTGAGGTAGTAGGTTGTACTACCGGCAAAATTAGTATTATTGGGTGTATTGGATCATTTGCTATTATCATTACAACCATCTACTATTAACATGAAAGTATTTAGCAAGTAATGAAGATGTTAGTTTAAAATAATCTAATGATGTATATATATGTTAGGTAGGATTGCTATTATTACTTACTATTCCCGCTCCATATTCATCATGCGAAACAAAAGAAAACAAACAAAACAATTATGCACAATTTTTCTATTTTATTCTATTTATATAATAGTTATTGTCTTTATTTACATCGATATATTTTATGTTATATATTTTATGCAAGATAATACAACATAAATTTATATTAGAAGATGAAATCTAATCATTATCGCGTAGATGATAATTGACTGGTATTAAATAAATAAGGAATACTTGTAAGAGAATAATAATAATCGTATCAAACATTATTTGTATAAAAAATGAATTAATTTATCTACTCGTTTAATTACCCACATTTCTGTGATCTATTTTATTATGGTAATTATTTGTTTATTTGTGAGATATTTGTAGTGATATTAATATTTGCAAGTTCTGTATTTGTAAAATAAATCTCAAATCAACGAATAGTTCAGTTTTCCCCCGACGATATATCAATTATGAAGCAATTCTCAAGTGATAATTTTAATTCATTTTATCACATAGCGAGCATCATTTTGAATAATTACTGATATTAAGGTACCTATTCACCTTAAATATACAAAACAAAAACATAAGGTTGACGTTTTATTATATAATACATAACGATTTAATTCTAAGTGCAAATATTCGTACGCTTCATTTTTTAATCATTTAATATATATATTTTGATAAATTCATAATTATTGTTTGAATAGTCTATAAATATACTATAAATTTATCTTTGTTACTTACTTTGTCTATGAAAAAATATGTTTATCGATAAAACGTGATTTTATTAATTTATAATTTTTTTTATTTAGTTTAAAAAAAAATACTCAGTTTTATTTTTATAAGAATATCAGAATTTATTATAATTTTAGAAAAAACAACGTTCTATAATATTAATATTAAAATTATACCAATCGAGTGAATTTATAAAATTCTTTACCTAAATACGATTTCACAATTATATTAAGGTATATATTAAGCGTGCTTTGTACAGTTCATAATTTAGTAAATGTTTAATAATACAACAAACAAACAAGATTTTAAAATACGTATAGTAAATTCTACAATGAATTAAGTGTCGTAATAATTGAATATTAGGAATAATACGGTACTCATGTGTACTGAATTTATATATTAGTTTACTAGCATTATCTATGTAAATATCCATGTGGATTAATATTTCGTGTACAGTTATGCGCGAATAAGAAAATAAAATAGATCGATTAGATAGTATAGTAAGTTTGCAAAGTTCTATTACTTATGCTTGATAAAAGTCAAAGAAACAACGACTAGGGTTCAATTTTCAAGCATTTCTACTGTAACTACACATCAACATCACATACCTTCCATAATAATACATGGTCAATCATTTTTCCGCGTGACAATTGATATGCATTATACATGCATTTATGCGCGTCCATACAAAGAAGAAACAAATAAATAGATAGATAGATAGATAGATAGATGGAGAGATAGAGAGAGAGAGAGATAGAGAGAGAGAGAGAGAGAGAGAGAGAGAGAGAGAGAGACACACACACACACGTACGCGAGCTCAAACCAATTATCGGAAGCAAGCACTATATTATGAGTATATCTCCTGCACAATATTCATAAAATAGATCAAATGTTAGCATTCTTTGTCTAAGAAGCTAAATGTGCATGTGTGTTATCATAACAATAGCTCTGGGTTACGAGTAAGCTTTGTAGTTTTGCAAAATTCGTCGGTGAATCCGATTTGATTGCTTTTTTTGTTTTAACATTAAGACGCACCGTTCCTTGTCGTAGTCCTTCCTCTCATCCTCTCTACGTTCCCTATTCCGCCTTTCCTCCCGGTTTCGTCTCTCCCAATCCTCTCTTTCACGATTCTTCTCGATCAAATCGTTCCGGTGCTCCCTATCCGATCTCTCCTGCATTCTAGTTCAAATATACAAATATTCCATTAGGTCCTCGATAATCGCGATTGCATAAACATAAACGGGGGTAAAAAGTATGCTCTCGCACTTACGTTAATTCACTCTTAAATGCGCTTTAACATTTTTACAATAATTATTCAAGATTATTGACGTTGGTTAGAATTCACCGATATGTCGCCACTTCGGACTACCTTAATGGTTACGGCTTTACGGAAGCGCATATATGTCGGGAGTAACCAACGCAATAGAAATTTAGTAAGTGGAACACGAAAAACATGGTTTTTCGAAGATGCGTTCGGTTTTCTATTAGGATGATAAAACAATTCATTGAAAATATAGTTTATTTACCGAAAAGTTTAAGTGTATTTATTGAGTAGTTAATAGACTTTTACAAGGTTTATCCCACGGGCCATATAATATCATATATCAATGTTTTTCACAGTGAAGTGCAGTTATACAATAACGAATCAGAATAATTTTCTCTGTATTTATTATTAGAAATGTAACAATCATCATATACAAGTAATTATTGAAATGCCAATTGAAAAAATTATTTATTATTCCGACATTGTTGTTATTACGTCATCAACGCCGATGAAATCAATAATTAAATTCGTATTTAATCTAATTTATTTATATATTTTTGTGTAAATTATGTGCACGTTCAGCCATAAAAAAAATAAGAAAAAACAACAAAATTTAGTATTAATTTTTAATTTTTAATTAAAAAAAAATCGTTTTAGTGTTTGCAATATATTAAAAAACATTTACACAAACACAAATATTTGTACCATTATCCAAATGATATTAATCATCCATTTTACTTTATATTAACCAAATAATTGAATACCAATAAATTGCCGAATACGGAATACTGAAATGAATAACAGTGATATAATCTCTTCAGTATATTGAAAACTATGCAAAAATAAATAACATTTAATACGTTAAAAAACATCAAGCTAATTATTTAAGTATTGTATTGCCAAATAATAATACACACTTTTTCTTCATTTAATTTCCGAAGGATTCTAATAGAAAAATATTAGATTCAATTTTTTTTAGCACTATCTTTTTTTTTTTAATATTGTATTTACTACTTACTTAGGTAGTAAAAACCACAACAAACATTTTACACAAATATTTTATTAAGCAAAATTTCAATTATTTTTAACTGTTATGCAATAAATATCAAATATAACATAAAATTATTTTTAAATAGCAAGTCGATTATAATATGCGTTTAATATTAAACGAAGAACAATCCCTAGGCACAATATATTGTCTATGATATTTTAATTTCTTTTAATCATAGAAATGCAAATTAAAATTACTTTCCACAATATTTTATTAGGCGTATCGAAATAAAAAAACATGAATAAAAAGAAGCAAAATAAAACGGACAAATTAAATTTTATTAAAATAAAGACTTGTGCGCTTCTAATTTTAAACTATTGACATTTAAAGATCACTAGAACTAGATATAATATTTCAAATAAATCTACTTTAAATATTATAACAAAAATTATATTCTTGACCTCGTAGTTTTATCATCATTATCTAAATAGTGTCGACATTTGACATAAATATTTATCTATAAATCTTATGTCTGTATCAATTATAAAAATAATGCACAACTCAATTGAATTTTAGTGATAGAATAATATATTTTGAAGTTATTTCAAAATTATTTTATAATATAATTAAATTATTATATACAAATTGTTATTCGCGGTGATATTAATGTAATATTATAAAAAGTTAAAAAGGTAATAAAAAATTATTAAAAAATTATTTTATTACGAAAAGTTCCAGCACACACAGGCACATACGTACGGACTCACGTACACAAGAAAAATGTGCGCGCACGTGTGTAAATAATGTGAAAGGCAAGAGGGAAAATTAATATTTTGAAAAATTATTTTTTTTTAAATAAGCTTGAACAGATGTAATAAAATTTAATTTGTCAATTTTGAGAAAATAGAGAATATTTAAGTTACTAATGAAATTTAAAAGTGAAATTAATGTTAATATGACATTAAATTATCCTTAATTGATTGTAAAAATTATTACGTACTTTATATAAAAAATATACGCTTTGCTTATATAATATGAACATAGAAGTTGTTAATTTATTTTGGAATTACTATATTTTCAGCTTCTTTAAGACTTATTGTAAAATTCATAATTATTTCTCAATAAAAGTCACTCTGCGCATCATAAACTTTCGAATTTACGAATACTGTAAAATTCTTAAAAAGTGTAGACATCTATTTGATTAAAACACAATTATTGGGATCCCATCGATAGCCAATTAAATTCAACGTACAATCAATTCCATTTTACACGCTGTGATAAAGCAATTATAACCTGAATGTATAGATTAAGTACACGAAGGTTAATTAAAAATGCATAGGTTAAACCTTACCTGGATAAACAAGTGCAAAGCAACTCGTTATTATCATCAGAGAAGTACGACTGAAGCGTACTTACCTCTTAGCCTGTCGCCGTATTGACAAAATATCCAGATTCAAATTAAAAATTTCATTGTCAAATATCCGTAAAACAATGCGCGTGAAATAGATAACCGAGATAAATGGGTTAATAAATCGAGGAAATAGTTTTCATTATACCTGTCGCCGTCCTTATCTTTCGAGACTATGTGGTCTTTCTGTAATCCGGGCCTCTCAATATGATCGACACCCGGGGGTGGCACGTCGTAATAGCCCTCGGTACCAGGAGGAGCGACGTCGTCGAATCTCTTGTTGAAGCGCGACGGTTGCTGGGTCGGTGCTCCTGGATACCTGCCGACAGATAAGCAACATCAGGCGTTAGGTTCCAGGCTCGCGAGCCAACGGTCAGCTAATTTTTCGTTTTTGTCTGTCTTTGATTTTGCTTTTTCTCGCAATTGCGCTCGCAGCCTCGGAAGGAAGATGGAGGAGATTGACAGGATTCGAAGGATTCTTCGTCCAGCGATGTATTGAGCCATTGGCGAATCAACGCAGACGTTTTGCGAAATTGAGATGTTTCATTGCGAAACGGTAAATCTGGACATTTTAAGATTGTTTTATAGATTATTGTAGGTGCCGAAATCTTTCTCGGGTGTCCTGGCGTGTTAAAGCTGTTTCATTTCGAAAATAGGTTAGATTACTTGTAGCAACTTGTTCTTTTTTTTTATTTATTTTTTTTATCAAGATTTATGCAGTGCATAGTTACCACAATCATTTTTTAAAAAGATTTTTACGGGTGGAAACTCTCATCAAAAACACAGAATACTTTCCTCATTTAAATATATTTTTGTATTAACATTTTGAACGAGGCATTTAATACGTAATGCATCATAAATTAATGGAATAACAATATTTAAAAGGGAATTCAATGAATGTAAGTAGTAATATTAAGCAGTAATATTTAAAAGCTAATTGACTGGTACAGTAGTTATATTATCCTTGGTTGATTTCTTCCTGAAATTACTTATGACTAATTTACTGTGTATAAATTTTATTCAAAACGATCATGAATAAAAGATTATATATATATATATATATATATATATATTTATATATTACTTAACATTATTAATAAAAATAAAAGTATACATTATGTAAAAAATTGTAGTTCTATCTATTAATATTCTCTCTCTTTTAAAGATGTAATTTTAATATTAATGTTATTGTATTTATTTGCTTATTATTATAAGATTAGAAAAATGAAAAAATGCAATCAATTTTATCTTATTCTTTAATTAAATAAATATAAATATACAAATCATTATAGGAGTAATACAAAAGATAAATTATTAGCTTACCTCTTCCTAGTGTATACAAATTTTTTTTTTATTGTAATAATAATTTTCAGTCAAGGACTACACTAGATTGGCAATCAAAGTGTTATATGAAATTTTGTAAAATATAATTAACATTTAATACTTCTGATGAGCACAAAAACCTGTCTTATTTTTAAATTCTGATTATTATTAATGGAAATACAAGCACTAACAGTATAAATGCTTTTTGCTAGTTTATCCAGTTTTTTAATCATCAACTATTTTTATGAATCCTAATCAACTGTTTTTAAGAAGAAAAACATAAAATGATTACATTTAGAAAGAAATATGAATTTAGACGTATTATAAAAGGATTATCAGATTACTATGTGTTATTAAAAATTTAGAATGATCGTACATTGCTTAGAAATTACGTTTAAAAATAATAATCTAATAATGAATCACGATAGTGATCACAGCTTTGGAGTCGTAAAGCGTAAGGTTTTGGATGCTTCATCAAGAATTTTGACAAAACTTTGCTTGAGAAACAAACATATATTTGTACAGCTCAATGTAGGACAGTCTTCAATACATTACAGAGTAATAAAATGAAAAACAGTCAAACAACAATGATATAAAATATAATTAAAGCATCATTCTTTTATCAACTTACATGTATTAACGAATTATGATTGCAGAACATAATAAAGTGATTCTTTCTTAAAAAGCTATTCTTTTGCAAGCATACGTCGTTAAAATTATTAAGCGATTGTACTCGATTAACAAACGCAAAACTTATCAATGTATATGAGAATAATAGAAATATTGTTTATTAAATTACAATTACTGCATTTAAAATGCAAATATCTGTTACAATTTTTTTTTTGTATTTATGTTTTTAACTTCTTCATAATTGTTTCTTCATGTAATTTGTTTTATAACTTTGTAACATCCATAGATATACAATAGTGTAAAAATTGAATAAAATAATAATATAATTAAGGTATACATAATACAATGCGCTTCTTTTATAAACATTTTATACTAAAATAACGCATTTATAAATTTTTATCGCAATTATTGTTGCAATTATGTATAATATAATCGAAATTTTTATTATTGGTAATGATAATGAAGAATGAGGTGGATTATCTGGTATTATTAATTTTTTATTATGAAATATTCCTGAATTGAAGCTTATCACCACAGCTTCAATTTATTGTAGATTAAAATTTTTTACATTACTGTTTAAGTAAAGCAATTGATTTTTATACCAATCGCGCAGATCGTCATCTAAAAAATTTGATTTCCTATTTTTAAGTTTAAACAGTTTCTTCAAATACAGACACGAAGCTTATTTATTATGGCCATTTGGATTAAGGAAAAAGTGCATTAATATTTGTAATGTTTACAAATTATTTCAATCTCCCACACTTCTCAAGTTTAATAAATGATATTCTTTAAATATTTGTAATAAAGATACTCATTGTTTGATTTACTTCGCATAAATTTTAATAAAGCTATGTCGCCATTGAAATTTCAATAAATTGAAAGATAATATCAAATTCATGAAAATTCGCAAAATTTGTTATCGATTATACGCTTATAAAACTTGTATTAAATGGCACATTGTGCACTTAGTTTCTAATTTTAATCAGAAAATGTTTAGTATTTACATAGGCACCTTAATGTATCTAAAGATTAGGAAATTTACTCTAATTATCAAATAAGTATCCATCATAAATTATAGCATAACATTTAATGGAAAATTTAGTACTTGATTTTCTACTATTAATATTGAATAATACAATATTTTACAAATCGTTAGTTAAAATATACAAATAACATTTTAAGCTATCATCGACATTGATAATAAATTTAATAATTTATAAATATTGTTTTAAGCTGAATCGATATTATTTGTTTCAAAGAAGTAAAATGATTTTTAGATTGCATGCATTTTATACAAATCGCTTTAACAATTAAGGACTTCTTAAGCTGATCAGTCGAAGGGATCAAGGTTTATAGGATCAATTATAAATTTGAGATAGGAATTACTATTGTTTGTGATCTTAATAATATTATAACATGATAATAATAGAAATATAATTATTGGCATATCATATATTTATCTATTTTTTTCATATTTCATTTTATAATATGAAGCAAATAAAGAAAACAATTGAATATTTTATGAAAAATGGACAGTGTATTTTGGTATTATTATTCGATTATTAATGTCTTGCACTTCTTATGCATAGCGGTAAATGTAATTCATAATATAGTATTAAAAATTACTTTGTAGATATATATTTTATAATACATACATTGTATTAGAACAATAATCTATCAAATAAGCTTGCGTGTCATTTTTTTTCTTCCTAAATAAATATTCAATAGAATGCGACGTTTTTCCTTGAAAACTGTATTCGAAATTATCGCGTGTACGAAAATAATGAATTTTGTTATACAGAAAAATAACCAATGATTACAATTTTTTATTAAAAATCGTATACTTTACTTTACCTACTCAATTACTACATAAGATGATGCATGTACGCTTTTCTATACTATAAGACAATAATATATTTTCATTTAGATAACGAATCTTTATCCAATTTAAATTCAAGATAATTGAACCTCACGACTCTCGGATATGCAGGTATCTGGGTTGACGGATTATGCCAATATAATTTGATCTATTGGCCAAGTTCTAAATAATGAATTATTATTTATTCTGTCACATAACTTCAAACGCTTATCTGATTGTATTCTAAACAAAATATTTTATAAATCATTAAAAATGTTATATTAAAAAATGTCATGAAAATAAAACTTGATTCCACAATGATAGATTTTTTAGTAAAAATAATATTAGATTAGTTAAAGGCAATTTATTATAAAAACGAGCGAACAATAAAAACTATATTCTCGAAGATACCAAGCGATCGAAGTTGCTCATGTAAAACAAATGTATCTCGTTAATTGTATACGATTAGTAGAGTTATTGATTTCGTTGTTGTGTTGGTGACAGTTGACTAGAAACCTGCAATCACGTGCTTTAAATGAATTTCTAAACTCTTGCTCAAACAGATCCGCAATTTTTAAATTAATCCATTTCGTCGGACCACAACATCGAATAACTTGCGTCGCTGCTTTTTAACGAATATTTTATTTTACCTCTGGTGAAGGCAGATGATGTATATGTCGGTCCAATCGGTTACAATCAGCAACGATATAAGATTGTCTGGTCCAAGATGAATTACACCTCAAATTTTAAATTTATAGTGGAGCCATTTATCAGCTGCACAGCCACTATAATCACGTAAAAGCTAAATCTCTACATATTTCTAATATTTGTAAAAAGTGACAGAATATGCGGAGAGGAATCGAGAAGACAGGTCAACTGGTATGGCAAACATCATCTATATAACAATAGATTATATTAATTCCTTTGATAACAATTACGAAGGAAGCTCTAAACATTACAGAAGACAATAATACATATGAATGAGCTATTTAGCACTTTATTTAAGGTGTTTTTTTGTTGCAAATAAAGTCTTTCGAATCTTACTTATATTTGAGAATTTATTCAAGAAAAACATGTTTTATCATACATGCTAGATATTATGAATATCTTAATAGTAATTAATAAGAATTTGTTGCAAAGATGTATTAAATATGTTTAGCACTTATAATCTAACATTTCAATTTTTTTTTACAATCTTATTAATACGCTATAATAAGCTTTTTCTCACTTAGTAGCAGTTATTTTTTTTATCATTGTTAATAATAAAGATTATAACATTAAATCTTATAATTTACTCAGTTTCTTTATTTTAATATGTACTTACTTATCGAATAAATTATTGAAAACTGATATCAAGAATACTCCGAATTAATAATAAAAATCTTTCATTATTAAATAATTTGAGGGTATTCACAAGTTTTAATAATTGCGTAATTTTCGCGCTTATTTTCTTAATATTCAAAGAAATAAAAATAGCGAGATAAAGTAAAAGTACGTCGATGGTATAT